GGAGTCCCCCAAGCTCATGGGAAACACTCGGCAGAGGAACCATTGGTCTGAATGATACAGGGACATCATTTGCTTGTACTGCCTGAGGTGGACTTCGGGATCGGACCGTCCATCATAAGTTTTGAACCTCGGCACGACGAAATTTTTTGGAACATCCATCTCTGTGATACCCCTGGTAAAGGGTGATTGCATGACCTCGTCTTCGGTATCATCCTGGACAGTCTTGTCATTTCTCTTAGATTCCAACCGAGCCCTGAGATCAATTTTCTCCCCAACGGGGTGTCTTCTGAAGTCTCCGAGTTCGTCAATGGGTCCCCCATTTCCTGGGCGTCGCGTGGATAGGGTTGAATCCTCCTCGGACTCATCTCCCTTCCTCCGTCTTGACAGTCCTCGTCGGAGGTCGTCCAGGGCTAAAGGCCTTGCCTTCCTGGAATGGTCGTTAAGAGGGCGCTCGTTGGCTCTTGGTCGCTTTGGGGCCCCGGAGCTTTCTGCTTTGTCATTTAATGATTCCTCAGATCCTTTATTTTCGCCTCCTGGGCGGAGAGCCCAAGAGAAAGGAATGAGTCCCTCGACCCTTCGCCAGAGGTGGCGAATTCGTTGAGCCGACTTAGGACGTTCACATTTTCCTTTTCCAACTGTCGTAATCGATCTCCAAACTTTTCTTCGATCACCTCCGCTAGTTGGCAAGCCAAGGGGGCAGTTCCTCCTAACCTGATGCCCATACTGGTCTGAAGAGTAGGCCCTCTTGACTGAATAGAGACATTTCTATTCCCATCAGTGTGATCCCTTCCTCTATCATGACATGAAGCTCGTAATTCAAGACTCTTTTGCTGGGGACCTTTTCCTTTTTGTCGAGTATTCACCATGGTCACTGTTCTTTACAGAGAAGAAACTAGGAAAACTAGTCATTTCCCACAGACGGCACCAGATTGTGTGTGCAACATCTTACACAATATACATACGAGAATAGATCTCTCCCGTGGTGAACTCGAGTGAGTCAATCAAATAGTCAACCTTGCTATTGGGAACAGTCTGTGAGGTCATGTGGTAACCTGAAACGATAATGGAAGACCCACGTGGATCAACGGAGCGATCCAGTAAGGCTGAGGAAGGTTCCTGGAACAAAGAGAGACAAGTTAGAAAGGCGCCGGAGTGCTTTCTGGCGTATCCCCTCCGACGATCAAGTCAGTATTTGAGAGGGGGGAAGAAGAAAACACTGAGTATAGGTTTTTTGTTGCGTACCGTTTTGCCTTTTGCCAGGAGTATTTATACCTCAAAAACTCATGATTGCTGTCAGTGTGGTCAGTAGGTGATCATTAGGTACAGGCAACGTGCGCACTGATTCCTATGAGGAATGTCTTCTCTCTTAACTGCTCGGGACCCCGAGCAATCAATGCGTCGTCATCGGCCTGACGAATATTCAATGAGCTCTTCTCGGCAAGAGAGTAATAAATGTCCAGTATCAGAGGCATTTATTGTCTTTCTCTTCCGAGCCTTACCGCATTAATGTTGTCTCATCAAGGGAATGACCTAATTAAATGCTTGTTTTCCCAAGTTGTGTGTCAGCAAGGACATCCGGTCTTTTTGTCTCTGATGTGACACAATATGCTACGTGCCCCTTCCCCATTGGCTGCGTCTTCTGCCTTCTGACACCAATTGTGTAAGACGAGGTCATGATAGCTAACCTAGCCTAGCCTAGGCTAGTGACCTGTATATCAATAGACTCTGCGGGAGCAAAGAATGCCATCCTGAACGGCACACCTCGGAACCGAGGGGGAGGTACATCTCGGAGTCGAGAGGGAGGTACATATAGAGACCGATGTACCATATCACCCGACCGAGGGATACGTGTCGGTACGTAAACGTACTGGATGTCATTGATCCCTACGACCAGAACCTCGGGGGAGAGGGACTTGTGAACTGATGTGTACGTGTCGTGATCACAGTAACAAGAATTTAGTGACACCGAAGACACGTATCTTCATCTTGGAGTACTTTGAAAATGTCCCATCAAATCTTATCCTAATTTTGGAGAAGTTGATTTCCGAATCTAAACTCTTGACGTATTGCTTGAGTGGATCGTTCATGTTCGAGATCTATTGTGTATATGAATATATTGAAGAAAAATATATCTTCCTTTCTGCTATCTTCCTTTCAGATTTAGCAGAAGTGGTGGCAGCCACTAGAGTCGCATGAACAAAAGAATAACCAAATGGATTTATAAGCAGCATTTGGCTTGGGCATGACTAGTGAGAGACAATAACTCACATTAAAATTTTCGTATTTTTTAGGCTACAAAGTGTTATTTGCTCAAGCATATATTACACAATTTTAAACATAATGGGAACTCCTTGGGCCATTGGTGTTTTTGTTATAGTTTATTACCTTTTTTAAAAATTGAAATTGAAATTTATAAAAAAAAAAAAAAGCTATAATAAACATATAAGATTCTTATTATGTATAAAAAACCTTGGGCCACATCTAAACGGCGTCGGGTCAATTTTTAGCCTAGGCCTGTGCAGAGGCCCAAAAGTATAGGTTATCAATTAGTCTTGGGTTCTTTGGAAGTTGATACACTTAATTAGATTTATTTGGTAAAAAGTACATAAAACCAAATATTTTAAAAAAAAGTACATAACTAAGTTACAAAGACATAAAGACCCATTTTAGGGTCATTTAATTCAAAATCTCTTATCTTTAATGCACCTTGATTCATGTGTGTTTGTTAATACATATAAATATATATTTAATACACCTTAATTCATGTGTATTTGTTAATATATATATACTTGTTGTTAAATCTCTTATCTAAATTTTGAATTATCTTTAATGCACCTTGATTTATGCTTTTTTTTTAAAAGTGTTTTTATTTTTAAATTATATTTAATGTACCTTAATTCAGGCGTTTTTTGTTTTTTGGAAAATTGTTTTATTTTTAAACTAATTTAATATCTGAATAATGTAATAGTGTAACAAATACACTGTAATAAAAATAATGTTCAGTAATTTTGTGTATATGGTAACAAATTCAAAATGAAGATGTACTATTTTGAGTAAAATTATATGAAACTATATGTTTGACAAAATGTAATAGTACAATATTTTGTGTAAATAGCTTGTTATTCGGATATTAAATTAATTTGAAAATAAAATCACTTTACAAAAAAAAAATACATGAATCAAGGTGCATTAAAAGATAATTCAAAATTTAAATAAGAGATTTAACAACAAGTATATACATTAATACATACATAAGTATTCATATAAGTGTATATATATATAACACGTGAATCATTATATACTTGTTTGAATTTTAAAATTTGTATTCATGTATATATAAAAACATATATATATATATATATATATATATATATATATATATATTAAAGTTCTCCCATAAAATTAAAAGATATTTAATGCACCACTTTTATTACACATGGGTTAATGGAGGGCAAAAATATCACAAAAAAATCAGTAAAATTCAAATAATGTATTTAGATACAAATAAGTATCAAAATTAAAGACTTAATTACCCAACATTTTTTTCTATGTATTTTTTTACAATTAATTTTAATTGAGTGTACTTCCTTCCAATTTTCCCATTAATCTTTTAGAGTGGGCTGCTCGGCCCATGGCCATCCTGGGCCATCTTGTCGTCACCTTCTGGACTGCTGTGACACGTTCAAATGAAAATTTTTTTGGATTTTTTGAGTGGGAGTATATTTTTTTAGACTTATTTGAAAAGAAGTGTATAGATAAATATTTTACTCTATTAAGTTCAATTTTAATGACATTTGAATTTTTTTACTTACTTACTTTTCTTGAAATTATGCATAATTTTTATTCTCTTCATCTCTCTCTCTATTACTCTCCATATCTCTCCCTATTTTCTCTTTCTATCTCCAATTGATAATTTATTTTCTTTTCAAACATGTAAAGATTTGATTTAATTTTTTCATCTCTCACTCTCTCTCTATTTTCTCTCACAATTACTCTTTCCCATTTTTCTCTCTATTTCTCTTTATATTAACATTACAATAACACAATTACACTAATTAGTTATATGAATCAATTACAATTGTCTTATAATATAACAAACAGTTACTCATGTGTTACAATTGGCCTGCTTTTGATCGCACTACAGAGAAGATTAATCAAGGTACGTGAAAACTGATTTAAAAAAAACAGTCACTTTCTTTGGCTGCCACGTACAAAATTATTATAGTAGCTGACTTGATGCTCTAGAGTAAACTTCCTAGATGTTTTCAAATGATTAAATCAATTTAGTCAACACAAGAAGTTGTCAGCATGTGAAACCAACAATTCCTTAACGTGATGAAACATCTAGGAAGAACTTATGAATATTCTTTGTATAAGGATCTGAATTTTCTAAAATGATTCAACATCTGGAAAAGTATGAGATGAATTAATTGACCATTCATTTTGTCCAATATAAGAAATGTCATGTGTCCCGATATATCTAGGAGTAATAAATCTTAACACGACTTTCAAATTAGATACAAAAGTTACAGAATTTGGGTTTAGTCTTCTCAGATTTGCTATCAAAGATACTGGATAAATGGGTTGATGCAAATCTGAATATACACGACATACATTTGACTATATGAATATAAATAGATTGTGTATAGAATTGAGTAAATTTTGATGCATACAAGTTAAATTACATTAATCTGACACAACTTTGCTCATTGCTGGACATTGATATACCTTGAAACCATAGGGGTACATTTAAAACCAGTTACAATAAATACTATTTTGAATTATGCACTATTTTTTATAATCAAGATCAGGAACTGCAGACGGATTGTATACTGGAGGGGGTACTGTGTCTACAGGTCTAGCATCTGCTACTCTTCGTTGGTTTTGTAGTTGTGGATATGTCTCCTGAGCCGTGGTGGTAGACACTTGGACAAGTCAAGCCAACAAGCTCGAAACCTTGTTCAAATTGAATTCAATTTCTTTTGTTTATATATATATACATGCCATCTATACCAATTGACAGAAAAGAAAAACAGAGTGAAGGGAAAGTAAGTTTAGTCAATATGTATGTGTTGGTTTTTTTTTTGGAGTCTAGTTTGTATATGTGATCCGGATGATGACCCGACCCGAAGTAATGTTGTGTGGTTTTTAATGGAAAATTTTCTGAGGCTTAGTCCATGGAGCGAAGGCTTGGGCAGATTTTACGTGGTTCGGAAAAATTTTTTGACCCGTTATACAGCCCAGTGCGTAAGACATATAAACTCTGTTGTTTTGGTGATTAGGATTTGTTGTGGATTGTACAGCCGCTCTCTGTAATTCAACTCTCTCAATAGTGAAATTCCTGCAGCTTCGTAGACGTAGACAAATTGCCGAACTACGTAAAACTTGTGTCTTGTTCTTTCTTGTTTCTTATTGTTTTATATTCTTGATTTATTCTTAAATTGTGTGTGTTTGTTAGTGGATTTAAATCGAGTTAAATCCCAACAGTATGTAACAAGACCTCTCTCTCACTACATAAAATTTCCTGAAACTCTTTTGATACCCCCTGATGGTCCAAATTCGGGTTATTTGGTACTTCAAGATGAAGAATCCCAGGCTTACTCTTGTTTTGGATTGTGCAAGGACGGGTACCTCGCAGACCTGCCGTTCCCTCATAACAAGGATCTAACCCTTCGATATTCTACAAATGCAGGCGAGAGGGAATATGTGTCTAAGGATGATGTTTACTTCATTCCAGTTCTTAATCAGCCATTGTCTTCCAATCGTTATTATGCGATCAAGCCTCATGGGAATCGAAAAGGGTATGCATGCTTACGGGAACTCAATTTTCTTTCTCCTCTTTCTATGTGTGGGGATCTATGGTCGCTCCATTTTTTTCGTTGTTAAACATTTTGTCATTTTGGTATAGCGGAACCTAAAGATTTCAGCATGATTAACCCGAATAAAAGTCCATTCATGCTCTTAGACTCTTACTAGACGTATAGACAAGTTGAATTAAGGAAATAAACAGTGCATCTAGTTGGTCCATTCATGCTTAGCAGTATCGAAAAATTCCACAATGCATGCATGAATGGACCACAGCAAGTCCATTCATGTCTTCCAATCGTTATTACGCGATAAAGCCTTGTGGGACACAAATAGGGTATGTATGCTTCAATAAAGGAACTCGATTTTCTTCCTCTTCTCTGTAATTCAATTGTTATAAGTTTTGTATGGTTTTGGCCTTGCTCGATTAAGTTCCATAATCATGTCACAGATTAACCAACCTGGACAAACATAGACAAGCTCTGCTGATAGACTTTTGTGCAATTTCGATTTCAGGGAAGCATACACTTGTTCAAAGGAGGAAGACCTGGCCATTTGCTGTTTTTGCCCTTGTGTCCGAGATGTAAAATCAAGGCCACTGGAGCCACATGACCCACATCAGCAATTTGAGATTGCTCTTTATGAAACATGTTGCACTACTAATAGCAAATTTTATGCCAAGTCGGTAGCACCAGATGGTTTCCCTCCATACTCCTTGAGGAGAAAAGGGTGGCAAATCTATGGCAAAACACCCAAAAACTACGAGTTAGGTGAAGCTTCAGGCCTCAAAGCTGCACTACGAGCACGCCTTCCAGAATTTAACCTCCCATTATCCTATAAGAGCTCTGAAGGCGTTGTTGTAGGGAAATGGTATTGTCCGTTTATCTTTATCAAAGACGGACCATTGAGAGATCAAATGAAAAGATCGATGTTTTATGAGATGACACTCGAGCAAAGATGGGAGCAGATTTTCACATGTGAGAATAATTCCAGTGAAGGAAAGATGGTGTTTGTGGATGTTGTTGTTCAAACAGAAACTGCCTCGGTTGCTGGCCAGGAAACCGTGTGGAATGAGAGAGAGGTGGTCGATGGGGCGATATGGTTTAGGAGTTTTGGCAATGTGGGAGGAGGAGGAGGAGTAAGTGTGGGATTGAGGGTAGAAATTGTTCAAAGAATGAAGTGGGAGCAAGAAAGAGCAGGCTGGCTAGGCGGGGAAGACAGGCAAGCAAGGGTGAAGAGAGTAGAGGAGTTTGGAGGGGTTGGTGATTGGAGGAAATTTGGATGCAATGTGTTGGCTGAGATGTTTGTACTGAAAAGAATGGATGGAAGCTTGGTGATGACTTACGATTTCAAGCACACTCATCAGATCAAAAACAAATGGGAATGAGATCATTATGTGTTCTCTTGTTTAATAGATACATCCTCAGGAGTTTTTATATTTAGTGATGAGCTTACCCTTTCTTATTTTTGCAAAATTTTGATTTATTAGATAAGATATTTGTCATACTGATACATTTAATTCTATTATTGGTTAAAATTGTGAGAGTTGTATGCCAAGGATTTATTGGTTTTATTTCGGTTCTGTTTTTTTATTTTTTGTTTTGTTAATTGCACTTTTGATCCCTAAAGCATTCAATTCGTGTCACTTTAGTTCCCAATCAAATAATCCGCTAATATTTTTTTATGTAAATGACCACGTGTTATTTTTTTAGACAGTATCACGTGTCCAATACATGATCTTAACAGTCCGTCTATGTAGGGACCAAAATGACACGAATTGAATAATTAAAAGTAACTGACAAAAAAATATATATTTTAAAGACCAAAAATACTATTAACCTTTTTTTTTTTTTTGTCATTTCTTTTTCATTGGTTTACATTCAATTGAATACAGAATCTGCAAAGATTAACGACAAAGAATTACCCATGTGAGTGCTTACTGGGAAGAAAAATGAGGCACTGATTTTAGAGGGAGCTGCTCTAAATGGGAAACCCCTGTCAGCCTAATCTATTTTCCATTCTTTTCATATTTTAAATAAAAATATATAGCAAATAATTTTAGGAAAAGGGATTACAGTTCCACATTCGGGATTTTTAATGCTTTAGGAAAAAGTGTTTCACAAAAATACTTTTAATGAAATAGGTTACTTAAAAATCTCAAATACTTTTAACGAAGGAGGTTACTTAAAAATTTACTTAGTCATCTCATTCTTATATTTATTATCATTACCGTCACCATTCCACTGCCGCCACCACCATTACTACTATACCAACCTATACAAGGGGCTACCTGCCATCCACCCCTTTACTATACCAACCTATACAAGGGGCTGCTTTCTTTCTTCTTAATGGGCAGGTGTATATAGTTTTGCAAGTAAGAAGGATTCAGAAATTTGATTCCAAATGGGATTAAGGTCTCAGGCTGTACAAATATAAAGATTGATTTATCAGCAAAATCAGAGTTGTTCCCTTAGGGACTATCTCAAAATGAACAAGAAGAAGAAGTCAGCATTGGGCCTGTTGGATAGGACTTTTATCCGAATCCGATCACAATTCGTGTTCATTTAGTCATATATGGATTGACATTTTTACCCATAATCCAAGTCTGTACTATAATAGGATTTGGATTGGGATATATTGAAATCCGATCCATTGAGAGGCCTAGTGCACGTGTGCCAATCACAATCCTTTAGCCTTGATGAAACATCCATGAAGGACCTCTGATATTAACATAAACATTGAAGCAGTCATTTTCTTTACCTTGCACGTATGGATAAGTGTCTGAATTTTATAAAACGATTGAACATTTAGAAAAGTCTTGAGTTGAATTCAACTTTGATATTATTAAATAATTTTTTACACGACCTGCAAATTTGATACAAAGGCAGATCGAAGTTTCGAAGTATAAGTTTGCTTATTCACTTTAACCTGCCAAACCATCCTAATAAATAAGTTTTCACAGACCCCAATATAAACAACACGACACAATACGATATGACACGACTATATATGTAATCAGCTCTAAAAAGGTGGTATCCTGATTCTAAAAGCAAGAACTTGTCACCTACGAACTGTTCCTCAGCCTGATGAAACATACAGGGAGAGAACCTATGAATATCCTTTGAAGCAGTCATTTTCTTTAGTTTGCAGGTATGGACTATGGACAATTCTCTGAATTTTCTAAATGCATGCACATATGCAAAAGTCATAGATGATGTAACTTTGACGTTACTAAATATAATATGCAGTCAAGGATTACAAAATTGACAAGTTCGTTAGGAACTAAGTTTAAATTATCCATTGCTTATGATGATCAACACGTTGACAAGTTAGAAACCGTGTTCAAGTTGTCTAAGCTTAAGCTATTTTAATTCAATGCTTATGTATATACACATCTCTGATAAGAATAGCAAGAAGGGAAATAAACAGTTTTTGATCAATATGTATGTGACAAGGCCTCTCTCTCACTACATAAGCTTTCCAGAATCTCTTTCATTACCCCCTGAAGGTCCAAATTCGGGTTATTTAGTACTACAAGATGAAAAGTCGGAGACTTATACTTTTTTCGGATTGCGCAAGGACCGTTACCTCGCAGACCTGCCGTTTCCTCAGAACAAGGATCTGACCCTTCGATATTCAAATGGTGATGATGTATCTCATGATGATGTATCCTTCATTCCAGTCCTTAATCTGCCCTTGTCTTCCAATCGTTATTACGCGATAAAGCCTCATGGGAATCATAAAGGGTACGCAAGCTCTACTAAATGAACTCAATTCCTTCTTCTTCTTCTGCTGCTGTTTAAGCTTTGGACTCTAAGATCGACCCATATTTTCATCGGTATCATTCAATTGTTATAAGTTTTGTATTCATAATTTCGAGTAACATAAAGGATTCAGCATGATAGAACAGATTAAGGTCCAGATCTTAGCAGGAGTATAGACATCATGAATTTAGGAAATAAAAATAGTGCATCTAGGCGATATGGACCCAAGCAAGGTCCATTCATAGCTTAGCAGAATTATAGAACAATTCCACAGTTACAGACCAAAATTCAGGGCCAATTCTGCAGCAAAACAAATTATAAGGGACTGAGCAGCTATTTATTGTGTATATTAAGCTTTTCTTTTTCCTATTTGATGTCTGCAATGTTATATAGAATCCTGATATTAAATTTTTCCCTTCAAAACAGTTTTTAAGGGAAATAATCAGGTAACTATTTTACTTTCCTGTATGGATATGGACAAGCTTTGCTTAAATACCCTTTCTTCAACTGCCTTTTCAGGGAAGCATACACTTCTTCAAGGGAGGAAGACATGGCCACTTGCTGTTTTTGCCGTTGCATCCAAGATGTAAAATCAAGACCATTGGATCCAGATGACATATATCAGCAATTTGATATTGCTCTTTATAAAAAAAGTTACAGTGCCAAGGGTCATTTTTATGCCAAGTCGGTAGCACCTGATGGCTTCCCTCCTCACTTCTTGAGGAGAAAAGGGTGGGAAATTTATGGAAAAACTCCCAAAAACTACGAATTAGGCGAAGCTCCAGGCCTCAATGCTGCCCTCCGAGCACGCCTGCCAGAATTCAACTTCCCAATGTCCTATAAAAGCTCTGAAAGCGTCGTTGTGGGGAAATGGTATTGTCCTTTCATCTTTATCAAAGATGGAAATTTGAGATATCAAATGAAAAGATTGATGTTTTATGAGATGACACTCGAGCAAAGATGGGAGCAGATTTTCACATGTGAGAATAATTCCAATGAAGGAAAGATGGTGTTTGTTGATGTTGTTGTTCAAACAGAAATTGCCTCAGTTGCTGGCCAGGAAACCGTATGGAATGAGAGAGAGGTGGTCCATGGGGCGATATGGTTTAGGAGTTTTGGCAATGTGGGAGGAGAAGGAGGAGTCAGTGTGGGATTGAGGGTAGAAATTGTTCAAAGAATGAAGTGGGAGCAAGAAAGAACGGGCTGGCTAGGTGGGGAAGACAGGCAAGCAAGGGTGCAGAGAGTAGAGGAGTTTGGAGGGGTTGGTGATTGGAGGAAATTTGGATGCTATGTGTTGGTTGAGAGGTTTGTATTGAAAAGAATGGATGGAAGCTTGGTGATGACTTACGATTTCAAGCACACTCATCAGATCAAAAGCGAATGGGAATGAGATCATTATGGGGCTGTTTGGGTTCTCTTGTTTAATATATATATCCTCAGGAGTTTTTATAGTTAGTGACGAGCTTACCCTTTCTTATTTTTGCAAAATTTTGATTTATTAGATAAGATATTTGCCATACTGATACATTTAATAAATTTGTGAGAGTTGTATGCCAAGGATTTATTGGTTTTATTTCGGTTCTGTTCTTTTATTATTTGTTTTGTTAATAGCCCTTTTGATCATTAAAATATTTAATTCGTGTCACTTTGATTTCTAATCAAACAATTTGTTAATTTTTTTGACTGAAATAATCACGTGTTATTTTTTTAGACAGTATCACATGTCCAATACATGATTATTCTATCAAAAACTTAGTAGTCCGTCTATGTAAGAACAAAAATGACACGAAGTGAATACTTTAAAAACTAAATTAATAAAATTGATACAATAAAGACTAACTGACTAAAAATATATATTTTAAATACCAAAAATACTATTAACGAAAAATTAACACTTTTAATGAATGAGGTTACTTAAAAACCACAAATACTTTTAATGAGAGGTTAATCTCCACAATCATCTCATTCTTATATATATTTATCAATACCGTCATTATCCCATCGCCGCCACCACTATTCGCCATCCCCCACAACCACCACCACCCCCCTTCACCCACAATCACCATTAACCACTCCCACCATCGATGTCACCCATAATTACTTGCCATCACTACTCAACACCACCACCATCACCCAAAAACTATTACCACCCCCATTATTGCCGTCAACCACCACCACTCAAAACTCACCATTGCTATCACTGCCCTTTTTCACAACCATTTAAAATAATAAGACTCTTAGTTCATAAAAAAAATTTTAAACAATAAATTTGTAATTGAATGAAACTTTTAGTATATTGTCCAAATTTTTTAAAAAAAATATTAAAAATTTGAATTGATAAATATATATCAAAAACAACAAGCCCAAAAATATTGAAAAATATAAGTAGTGAACTCCAAAAACAATTAACTTTAATAGAATAAAATTGTTAGTTCACCGCGAACTAAAATACAGTGAACTAGACATAGTAAACAATAATCACCATCGTTGCCCACCACCACCACCTACCATCGTGACCTACCGTCACCCAAAACAGTGAAAGCCCACTTAATTGAAAAGTATTGAAAAAAAACATAAATAGTGAACTTTAATAGAATAAAATTTCTAGTTCACAAATTTTTCACAAAACAATGAATTTTAATAGAATGATGCTTTTAGTTCACTGCTCCAAATTTTCATAAATAGTGAACTACAAAAATATTAAAAAAATGAATTGAGAAATATATATATATATATATATAAAAACAATGAACTCATAAAATAGTTAACTCCAAAAATAGTGAATTTTAATAGAATGAAAGTCTTAATTCACTCTCCAAAATTTATAAACAATGAATTTCATCAAATTTTAATGTCTCGAAGAAAAACTAACTAATGAATTTACCTATATCTTACACTTTGTTTTCCATAAATTTTCTTATTTTGAATTTATCTGTTTTAATAAGTCTTAAATTTTCAAACTATTGTAGGTAAATTTATCTATATTGATAAAAATTTTATTTTCATTATATGTAAAATTTATATATCTTTATTATAAACTTAGTTTTTGATGATATTTTAGTTGAATATAATAAAATTCTTATTTTCATTGCATGTAGCATAAATTTATCAATAAGATAGATTTTGTTTTCGATGATTCTTTTGTTTTAATATGTATTAGATTTTTAAAACTTTTATTGGTCAATTTATCTATATTAATAAAATTTTAATTTTTTTATTATTTTTTTAATTTGTCTGTTTTATGTATTTTAAATTTATCTATTTTATCTGTTTTAATTTATCTTTTAAGTTTGTCTGTTTTATCTATTTTGAATTGTCCAACCATACTTTACTGTTTATGCATTAAATAGATCTAATTTATTCGAAGGAACTATGAATAAATCAGAATCAACATCAAATTACCAGATAAAAAACGAAATAATTCGAAACTCACATCTATATGAACAAGAAAAACACCAAAATCAAAGGCATTGAACTTTAGCGTAGCCTGGACTATCGAAATCTTCAATATTATTTTGTTAATTAAACCCGCTTAAAGCCCATCTTTATTAATTTTAAGAAAAATTACAAGAAGCAAAGAGGGCATATGACCCTTCCACCAACATAAAATAAAATTACAGGTATTGAAAACTTAAAAAGTAAGCATCTTCCGATCCTTTATAGCTTGGCCGAGAGCAAAGATTAAAATTTTGTTTTGAAATAATCGAAACTTCTAAATCATTTTTGTTTTAAAGGAGATCGAAACGAAATCATTATAGAATCGAAATTTTAATATTTTGTAATGAGTCCGAATTTTACTGAGCCAAGCCCAATAAAAATTAATCGAGAAAGTCTAAATCAAAATTGGGTCAACCCATCAGGAGAGAGTCCAAAGCACCGAAGGAACCAAGAGGCGTCAAGTATTTCAAAAAGGGGGCGCTGCCCAAGGGTACCCCAAGGAGACGCCACCCAGGTGGTCTCCAAGAGGGCGCCGCCCATGGTTTGCCTTCCTGTCCCTCTTCTCCACTCCAATGCAAGTCCAAGTCCACACCACTCCAAGTTCAAGCTCAAGATCAGGATCAGTCCAGCTCAAGATCATCCTCCGACGGAATAGGGATACAAGCGAGAGAATATCGGGATGCAGAGATCCATTCCTACTAAGGTTATACTTACCAAGATAGTGGAAGACCCCTTCCTCACGTCACTGCCTTGGTATGCCTATATAATGTAAATCCTCTACATATAGAGGACATACCTTCATCACCTTGAAATCTCTACACATACTACACATTCTTACATACATTGTTCTCTCTCTCTCTCTTTCTCTCCCTATCTTGGAGAATACTCTCTCCGGTGACTTCACTCATTAATAAAAAGACTCAGGTCACCGCTGCCATTCCCGAGAGTGAAGAGGTCACTCGGACCGAACTACTATAATTCTCTGTATTGGCTCCTTATTTACAGCTTTATTATTAATTGTTTTATTTATTGCTCATTAACTCCACCCGTTCATACACTTGATTGTTGATTTTACACAAAAACCAATTTGAGCATCATCACTTTGATATGTTTCATAATGTTTCGAGGTATTTTTATAATATTTCATTACATTTGCATAATTGTTTCGGAATGTTTTAAAGTATTTTGATATATTTCGATCAGTGTTTTAAAAAAATAATTTTTTTAATTTTTATTTATTTATATTCTAATTTTAAAATAGGTCAAAATATTTCTGAAACACGTCAAAACATTTTTATTTCTCAGGTGATCAAAATAATATACTGAAATAAAAAGTTTGATCCTTCGTCATAGTCTCCTACTAGGGTGAGTTTGTTAAGTTAAATTCAGCACTTAAAATCAATGTATTTAGCGCTTATTAATTAAGTTCGTTTAATAACTAAAATTTGAATATCTTAATGTATTAAGTACTTCTTAAAAATAGGGTAAAATATTAAGTATAAAATCTCTTACTTTATTTTTAAAGCTGGAAACGCTCAACAAAAATATCTTTAATAATATTTACAATATGATAATTATACTCCAAAATATTTCACAATCCTCTAAAACTACAATCAGTCTTGTCTCCAAAATCTCTAATCTATCTATCCTCCTCACAGACACAAATCACATGCACACACACATGTTGCACACATACAACACACGCTGCACATATTGTGTTATTCAATTTGTTATTATTCTAGTCGTCTTTGGTATTGGTTAACAGTTTATTTGTCCAACTATTTTATATGTATTTGTTGAATTTGCTATTGTTCAATTCTTTTTTAGCTTAATTATTTTTTTGTATTGGACTAATTATTTATTTATTCAATTTATTTTTTTGTTGAAGGTTAATTGTCTTGTGTTCTTCAATACTTGTAATTTATGTTATAGTGACTAAAATATGATAATAGTGATTTATGATTTATGTTATGAGTTGAACTAATTTGATATATCATAATTTTTTATTAGATAAAAATATATTTTATAAATATTTTCAAAGAGTATAAGGGTAAAATTAAAAATTAATTTATTTTCAGATATCATCTTTATATAGTTATCAAACAGTTTGGTTCATTTCAGTACTTAAATTTCATTGGGTACCAAACAGTCCACTAATTCAGTATTCAGCTTTTAACTTTTAGACTTCAATTTTTAGTTTTCAGACTCCAACTTTCAATTTTATCAAACATCACATAAATACATTTTTTTGAATACTTTGTCCACTTTGAAAATTGGTGGGCCATAATCCCCACTTAACATTTTATACAGCTTTCCTCTTGCATTGTCTCTAAATTAAAAGCTCTATAATTATATTATTTTGCTTGGTGTGCCCACTTTATCACAATCTTTTAATTTGATTATAAAAATCGACAAATTTGCCACATTTTGTATTTATATCAGTTCAACTGCTTTTAATAGAAGCTTGCGAACGCTCTTCTTGATTGCCTCCATGAAGTTCTAAATATTTCAATATTCTTTGTCAGAAAGCATCACCGTGTTGCTCATTCCCAGTAATTGCATCTTTACTCGTATTAAGTTACGCAGACACAATTAATTTATCTTCTTCTAAAGAGAAGTTCTTTATCTTTTGCGATTTTTCCACTCTTGGAGCGACTTCATTTTGTACTTGCGTCAATTCTGTGGGATTGGTCTGCATAGCGTCATCATATAAATCGGAACCGCTCATAAGCAAATTAGTGAAAGAACCGTCAAATTGTGAATTCATCTACAAAAAAAAAATTATAATCAATTTAAAGAATGAGCATAAAACAATCAATTAAAAAATAAATAAATTACCCTTAATTCAAACAAATTCTAAATTAAATTTGTCATCCTCTTCTCTCTGTCATAAATAATTAAATTAAATCTGCCATAAATTATAAATTAAAACAACAGTAGGAATGACAGATATAATTATAAATTACAAGAACAAGGATGACAGATGTAATTATAAATTACAACGCCTTTTCATTTCCCTTCCCCTTCCCCTAATTAAAACGCCTTTTACCCCTTCCCTTTCCCAGTGCCTCCATCCCCTTCTCCTTCTGCTACGCCCTCTGCAACTTACAACGGCAACGGCAACGACAAACAATTACCAGAACGCCTTCTATCCCTTCCTTCTGCAATTCCCAGAACGCCTATGTGCCTTCTTCCAACGATTGAAGAAAAATCAAGAGCAGAGAGTTTTGGTAAGTTTTTTTTCAAAATCTTTGTATTTATAGAAATTTTTTGTTGAATAGAGCCGTTGAGATTGAATAGTAAAGTTTGCAACCTCTCCCTTTTTTCTCTCTAGAGTTGCCAAAATTGTCACCCCCACGACCATTGATGTCATTTTTAACCCCTGATGCCACCCCATTGAAGTCTAAATTTTTGAATTTGAGGAGACATTTTGGCAGTTATGGAGTTACCACCCCCTGATGCCACTCTCCTTGGAGTTGCTCTAAGTGGCCCCCAGTTTGAAAATTGTATCCACCATTCCATACCGTCTTTCTCCAACATTCCATTGCCTTTCTCCAGCATTCCATTGTCTTTCATGTTAGCTCTTGCAATTGGTTCTTTGTAATAATTATTGTAGATGGATTTATCACCAATTTTTACATAATTTTTTATTGTTAGTTTAAAGATCAGGAAAATTTAGATTAATTTAAGCACATTTCAACTAATTTTTTCTCAAGTTCGATCAAAAGTAGGTCATTCATGTCCGAACTAAAATATTCATGAGAAATAAATTTCTCATAGTCTGGCCCCAAGAACTTGTCAAGATTCGAACTCAGGACTTCTGATTTATAGCTTGACCATAATTTTATATGGGTTAATAACATTCTTAATCTCTAAAATTAGTCCTCATATTATTAATTTTATCAATTTAGTCCCTAAAATTTTAATTCATATCATTTTAATTTCTAATCAGACAATTCCTTAAGTTTGTTGATGGAAATAACCGTGTATTATTTTTTCAGATTGTATCACGTGCCCAACACGTGATCATTCTGTAAAAAATTTAATTATTTGTCTATGTAAAGATCATTTAAACACGAATTGAATACTTTATGGACTAAATTAATAAAATTAATACTTTAAGGACTGAACTGACAAAACATGCATATTTTAGGAACCAAAAATACCATAAATTCATTTTATATTTATATACAAGATATTCTTGTCCAAATTGAAACAGTTGCACCATTTATGGCCACCCCCTCTTGGCAATTTGGTTGTCCCCTCAAGGACTATGGTAACATGTTCAAATGAACAACTCAATTTGGCCATGGATAACATTATAGTACCGATTTCTTTTTCCCCATATTCATACTTTATAAATGATTTTGGTCACTCTTAAATATCCCAAGGAGAAGTCAGCATATGACAGTCACAAACTCGAAACCTTGTTCAAGTTTCTAAGCTAAGCTATTTCGATCTCTTTGCTTACACATACACATATATCTCTTCTACAAACTGCAAGAAAGGAAACAAACAGTAGAGGGAAAGAAAGTTTGGTCAATATGTATGTAATGATGTTGTTGCCTTCATTCCAGTCCTTGATCAACCATTGTCTTCCAATCGTTATTATGAACAAACTTGATTTTATTCTTCTTCTTCTTTTGCACTTTGGGGGCTCTAAGATCAATCCGTTTTTTCCTTTTGGTATTCATATTATTCAGTTCAGGCATAGTTATATTGAGAAATTTCATTCAAAACTGTTTTTAAGAGGAATAATCATGTAACTGATTTAATCATCTGCCCTCCGTGCACGCCTTCCTGAATTTAACTTTTCAATGTCCTACAAAAGCTCTGAACTCATCATCGTTTGGAAGTGGCATTGTCCTTTTATCTTCATCAAAGACGGACCATTGAGCGATCAAATGAAACAATTGATGTTTTATGAGATGACACTCGAGCAAAGATGGGAGCAAATTTACTCATGTGAGAATAACTTCAGTGAAGGAAACACTGTGTTTGTTGATGTTGTTGTTCAAACAAAAGTTGTCTAGGTTGATGGCAAGGAAGTCGTGTGTGGAATGAGAGAGAGGTGGTCGATGGGGCAGTGTGGTTTAGGAGTTTAGGTAATGTGAGAGGAGGAGTAAGTGTGGGATTGAGAGTAAAAATTGTTCAAAGAATGAAATGGGAGCAAGAAAGAGCAGGCTGGCTAGGTAGGGAAGACAAGCAAGCAAGGGTGAAGAGAGTAGTGGAGTTTGGAGGGGTTGGTGAGTGGAGGAAATTTGGATGCCATGTGCTGGTTGAAAGGTTTGTATTGAAAAGAATGGATGGAAGCTTGGTGATGACTTATGATTTCATGCACACTCATCAAATCAAAATCAAATGGGAATGAGATCATTATGTGTTATCCTGTTTTATAGATATGTCCTCCAAAGTTTGTTGTGTTTGCTGAAGAATTAAACCTTGATTTTGTTTTTCTAAAATTTGATTTATATGAATCACTTATTTCACTATATTGAGAAGTTATGTAGTAATGTTGTTGAACAAAATTGTGAGCTCAGAACAGAGAATGCCAATGCTTTATAGTTTTATACATTTTTGTTTCTGTTTGTNTCTCATAGTCTGGCCCCAAGAACTTGTCAAGATTCGAACTCAGGACTTCTGATTTATAGCTTGACCATAATTTTATATGGGTTAATAACATTCTTAATCTCTAAAATTAGTCCTCATATTATTAATTTTATCAATTTAGTCCCTAAAATTTTAATTCATATCATTTTAATTTCTAATCAGACAATTCCTTAAGTTTGTTGATGGAAATAACCGTGTATTATTTTTTCAGATTGTATCACGTGCCCAACACGTGATCATTCTGTAAAAAATTTAATTATTTGTCTATGTAAAGATCATTTAAACACGAATTGAATACTTTATGGACTAAATTAATAAAATTAATACTTTAAGGACTGAACTGACAAAACATGCATATTTTAGGAACCAAAAATACCATAAATTCATTTTATATTTATATACAAGATATTCTTGTCCAAATTGAAACAGTTGCACCATTTATGGCCACCCCCTCTTGGCAATTTGGTTGTCCCCTCAAGGACTATGGTAACATGTTCAAATGAACAACTCAATTTGGCCATGGATAACATTATAGTACCGATTTCTTTTTCCCCATATTCATACTTTATAAATGATTTTGGTCACTCTTAAATATCCCAAGGAGAAGTCAGCATATGACAGTCACAAACTCGAAACCTTGTTCAAGTTTCTAAGCTAAGCTATTTCGATCTCTTTGCTTACACATACACATATATCTCTTCTACAAACTGCAAGAAAGGAAACAAACAGTAGAGGGAAAGAAAGTTTGGTCAATATGTATGTAATGATGTTGTTGCCTTCATTCCAGTCCTTGATCAACCATTGTCTTCCAATCGTTATTATGAACAAACTTGATTTTATTCTTCTTCTTCTTTTGCACTTTGGGGGCTCTAAGATCAATCCGTTTTCTCCTTTTGGTATTCATATTATTCAGTTCAGGCATAGTTATATTGAGAAATTTCATTCAAAACTGTTTTTAAGAGGAATAATCATGTAACTGATTTAATCATCTGCCCTCCGTGCACGCCTTCCTGAATTTAACTTTTCAATGTCCTACAAAAGCTCTGAACTCATCATCGTTTGGAAGTGGCATTGTCCTTTTATCTTCATCAAAGACGGACCATTGAGCGATCAAATGAAACAATTGATGTTTTATGAGATGACACTCGAGCAAAGATGGGAGCAAATTTACTCATGTTAGAATAACTTCAGTGAAGGAAGCACTGTGTTTGTTGATGTTGTTGTTGAAACAAAAGTTGTCTAGGTTGATGGCAAGGAAGTCGTGTGTGGAATGAGAGAGAGGTGGTCGATGGGGCAGTGTGGTTTTGGAGTTTAGGTAATGTGAGAGGAGGAGTAAGTGTGGGATTGAGAGTAAAAATTGTTCAAAGAATGAAATGGGAGCAAGAAAGAGCAGGCTGGCTAGGTAGGGAAGACAAGCAAGCAAGGGTGAAGAGAGTAGTGGAGTTTGGAGGGGTTGGTGAGTGGAGGAAATTTGGATGCCATGTGCTGGTTGAAAGGTTTGTATTGAAAAGAATGGATGGAAGCTTGGTGATGACTTATGATTTCATGCACACTCATCAAATCAAAATCAAATGGGAATGAGATCATTATGTGTTATCCTGTTTTATAGATATGTCCTCCAAAGTTTGTTGTGTTTGCTGAAGAATTAAACCTTGATTTTGTTTTTCTAAAATTTGATTTATATGAATCACTTATTTCACTATATTGAGAAGTTATGTAGTAATGTTGTTGAACAAAATTGTGAGCTCAGAACAGAGAATGCCAATGCTTTATAGTTTTATACATTTTTGTTTCTGTTTGTTCTTTTTCACAATGGTGTATTGCATTGGATACTCGAGGCAATGACAGCATGGTTGGTATCAATCATCGACACAGAGAGCACTAGGACACATCGTTTAAAATGTGGCGGAATGGTGTTACGGCAAAATTCTGCGTTGAATAAAAAGTTTAACATCACAAGATATTGAAGTCATATTGCATCTTGGCAGAATGATATTTATTAGAAATATAGCAACAGTCTAGTTTATTAGGGTTTTTCTTGTTTTTCTTTTTTACCTTTTTAATCTTATTGTAATTTTCATTGACTATATATACGGGGGCTCTACACTTAGTTTGTATCCCTTTTTCACTCACATCTCTCTCAAGTTAGTATCAAACCCACTCTAACCTTAACCTTAACCCCAACCCTAACCCTAACCCTAACCCTTCCCCTAACCCTAGCCCCTCCTCCACATTGCAGCCACCAGCCACCACACTGCCACCAGCAGTAACCTTCAGCCACGCCAACACAAACCAGCGACCAGAACCATAAACCAACATTAAATCAACAGCATCACCCATGTGCCAGAACCATAAACTAGCGACAGCCTTACTCCATTGAAGCAGCGAACCAACATTAAATCAACAGCATCACCGACTGCCTGGCCTTATACCCACTGCCCACTCAGCCAAACCTCACCGATAGCCCATTCACCAAACCAACATCCCAATAAACCTAACATCCGATACCCATTGCCCAGCGGCAAAACGAAAGCCACCGACAAATTCACTCCAAGGCATTCCCATCGAACCCAGTAAACAAAACCAAACAAATACCCACCACCGACAACTCCTCACCACGGTCAACTGCCCAGCGAACCCACTAAACCCAAGTCATATTAAATTAATCAAATCCCACCGGTAGCAAACAACTCCACCGACCAGAACATAGAACAACTCCACCGACACCAATAGAGCCCCCTGCTGGATTGCAATTTTTGTTGTGGCTTCGTCCTAGGACTTTTTTAGGAGGGAGCAGATCCTCTTCTCAGGTGATCTATTTTTGATGTAGTACATCACTTATTTATCTTTATTGGATTTCTTTATTGAATTTCTGGGCACTGTGACCTTAATTATTTGGGAGCTTTCTNAGTTTTATACATTTTTGTTTCTGTTTGTTCTTTTTCACAATGGTGTATTGCATTGGATACTCGAGGCAATGACAGCATGGTTGGTATCAATCATCGACACAGAGAGCACTAGGACACATCGTTTAAAATGTGGCGGAATGGTGTTACGGCAAAATTCTGCGTTGAATAAAAAGTTTAACATCACAAGATATTGAAGTCATATTGCATCGTGGCAGAATGATATTTATTAGAAATATAGCAACAGTCTAGTTTATTAGGGTTTTTCTTGTTTTTCTTTTTTACCTTTTTATTCTTATTGTAATTTTCATTGACTATATATACGGGGGGGGCTCTACACTTAGTTTGTATCCCTTTTTCACTCACATCTCTCTCAAGTTAGTATCAAACCCACTCTAACCATAACCTTAACCCCAACCCTAACCCTAACCCTAACCCTTCCCCTAACCCTAGCCCCTCCTCCACATTGCAGCCACCAGCCACCACACTGCCACCAGCAGCAACCTTCAGCCACACCAACACAAACCAGCGACCAGAACCATAAACCAACATTAAATCAACAACATCACCCATGTGCCAGAACCATAAACTAGCGACAGCCTTACTCCATTGAAGCAGCGAACCAACATTAAATCAACAGCATCACCGACTGCCTGGCCTTATACCCACTGCCCACTCAGCCAAACCTCACCGATAGCCCATTCACCAAACCAACATCCCAATAAACCTAACATCCGATACCCACTGCCCAGCGGCAAAACGAAAGCCACCGACAAATTCACTCCAAGGCATTCCCATCGAACCCAGTAAACAAAACCAAACAAATACCCACCACCGATAACTCCTCACCACGATCAACTGCCTAGCGAACCCACTAAACCCAAGTCATATTAAATTAATCAAATCCCACCGGTAGCAAACAACTCCACCGACCACCAATAGAGCCCACTGTTGGATTGCAATTTTTGTTGTGGCGTCCTAGGACTTTTTTAGGAGGGAGCAGATCCTCTTCTCAGGTGATCTATTTTTGNATAATTCCTCACCACGGTCAACTGCCCAGCGAACCCACTAAACCCAAGTCATATTAAATTAATCAAATCCCACCGGTAGCAAACAACTCCACCGACCAGAACATAGAACAACTCCACCGACACCAATAGAGCCCCCTGCTGGATTGCAATTTTTGTTGTGGCTTCGTCCTAGGACTTTTTTAGGAGGGAGCAGATCCTCTTCTCAGGTGATCTATTTTTGATGTAGTACATCACTTATTTATCTTTATTGGATTTCTTTATTGAATTTCTGGGCACTGTGACCTTAATTATTTGGGAGCTTTCTGGACCTTCTTTATCTGTCACTACTGTTCGACTAGAGGTATATTATTCTCCCTTATTTTGTCTCTCTATTTATCTTAAAGTTGTTTTTATGTCACAAGTGCCCTAATATTGTTGATGATATGACTACTACTGAGAGAGTTGAGACCCCTACCGTTGAGGCATCTGTTAGTACTTTCATCGGGTATAGGCGTCAACAACGCTCGGCCCAGCGTTCTCAGGGTATCCCACATCAGCGTAGATATGAGAATTCTCATCAGTGTGATTATTGTCGCCGACTAGGACATCTCAGGGCTACTTGTTGGAAGCTCCATCCGGAGCTTAAGTCTCCTTCTCGCAACCGCATTGTTGCCATTGGTAAGGCACCACCACCTACAGTTATTGTTCCTGCTACTATTGCTACTACTCCTCCTTGGCAGAGTGATATGAATGCTATCACTTCTCGCTTGGATATACTTATATCGGCCTTGACTTCTCGAAGTCCGACTACTACTGCTGCGACTACTACAGGTATACCTCGTGTCTTTCATACTTGCGTTAGTTTGTCTCCCCTTTGGATGTTGGACTCGGATGCTAATGGTCATATGATTAGTGAGGCCCATCATTTCACCTCTTTTGACGAGCAGTTGCATACTCAAGTTCAATTAGCAGCTGGTACACATGCCCCTATTTTTAGTAGGGGTACATTCCGTCTCCCAGATGGCTTTACATTACGTTCGGTGTTTCATGCGCCAAAGTTGGTTATGAATCTATTATCTGTACATCAGTTAGCCAGAAATTTTCACTGTGCGGTTGTGTTCTTATCTGATTCGTGTTATTTACAAGACCTGAGTACCAGGAGGATTATTATCAGGGAACATGAGAGAGGTGGACTGTATTATTTAGGTGATCCACCTCCAGTTTCACCAGTTTCTCTACCTCCACCTCCATCACCTACTTTGTCTTTATCTGTTCCTAGCTTGCATGCTAGTATTTTACCTATTACTTGTCGTTATGATTTTTCATCACAAATTGCTCAGTTGTGGCATGATCGTTTTGGACATACAAATTTTAAATATTTATGTATGTTATTTTCTGCTCCGAGCAAAGCTTGTGTTAGTCGTAAACTTAACTGTGTGATATGTTCCCTATCAAAACATATTCGGACCAGTTATATTACTCGCATGCACCAGTCACCCAAATCATTTGACCTAATATACGCTGATATTTGAGGACCCTCTCCTGTTACTGCTCTATCAGGTGTCCGATACTATGTAACATTTATAGATGACCATACTCGTTGTACTTGGGTCTACCTTTTGCATAGGAAGTCTGATGTATTCCCTACAATCATTTAGTTTCTACAGATGATTAAGACACAATTCGATGTCATTGTTCGTGCTTTTCGTTCGGATAATGTCAAGAGAATATGTGTCTGATGCCTTAGTATCTCACCTTTCTTCTCAAGATATTCTTCAGCAACTCACTTGTCCATATACTCCTGAGCAAAATGGCGTTGCTGAAAGGAAAAATAGGAGTCTGATAAGGATGGTACATTGTATGCTTAGAGGTATGGGGGTGCCAAAATCTTATTGACATTTTACTATTTTGACATCTACTTTTCTGTGCAATCGTTCGCCGAGTCATGTTCTTCAGCATAGAGCTCCCTTACAAGTCTTATTTCCTGAGCAACCACTTTTTTCGGTCCCCCCTCGTGTTTTTGGATGCACATGTTTTGTTCAAGATCAATCTTCTACTCGTTATAAGCTTGATGATAAAGTAATTTGTTGTGTCTTTGTGGGCTATTGTCATCACTCTAAGAGATATCGGTGTTATAATCCTGTTAGGCGTCGTATGTGTCACAGTCTAGATGTTACATTTCTTGAGTATATTATTTATTTTTCTTCAAGTCATGTTTCTGCCCCTCCAGTTGATGATATTCCCTTTGATTTTTCATTACCCCCGGTGCCAGAACCAGAGCCACTATCATTACAGAGTCACCGGTCTATCCTCCTCTAGAGTCACTTATCCCTGTCAGTACAGAGTCACTAGTCTCTCTTCCTTTGCAAGTTTATGTTTGTCGCCCTCGCTCTCATCCCCCTGCTGATGTCCCTTCTACCTCAGGCTATGTAGGTTACACTTCTCAGTTCGTTGAGCATATTGATGCACCTGTTGTTAGTACTTATGAGATTGCAGGTACTAAGCTAGTTATTTTACCTGATGAGACATTGTCAGTGGAGAATGATGATTTAGGGCGTCGTTATCCACGGCGTGATCGTCGTCTAGTTGTTCTTTATGGTTGGACCGCCAAGATTTTATACCCGATCTTTGTTTATGTTTCTTATGGTGATCTGTCTCCTAAATT